AATAATAATAATAATTAATAATAATAGTAATTAATAATAATAATAACAATAATAATAATAATAATAATAATAATAATAATAATAATAATAATAATAATAATAATAATAATAAAAAATAATAATAAGCCGGAAGATTCCTAAAATAATAAAAATTCTTTATCATCATCCAACACGTCTTTTTGATCGTATTTTTAACTCGATGAGTTGTTAAAATTTTGTTGAAGTAAAGAAAAAGAAGTTACTTATTTTATGATTTATAATCAGTTTATGCTAATTTTACAATAAGAACATGCCGAAAACATACAAATTTCATTCATTCCAACTTTATTAATCAATATTTCCTATGAACTGCTTATTACTTTTTTGCAACTTTTTGTAAAAGGTAATAAATGGACCCGTTCATTACCTTTTTGTATTTTTGTAATTGGATAATCAATTTTTCAGCATAATTCTGACCATTTATAATGCTAAATTTAATATTAAAAAAAATTAAAATATGTCAACTGAATTTTACTTGCAAAGAAGTGTTCCATCTTTTAGCAATTTCGAGAAATTCTCGGGTGTTCCTTCGGTTGAAATATTTTCACCGCTCATCTTTTTGATCCACTCCAACAAACCTTGTGCTTCATCACTATTAAATTTCGATGCTTGCTATAAGTACCTAATGTCAATTTACACGTAAGCAAGAATTAATATCATAATTGATAAATTATCAGTCGTATCATATTTTTACCTTTTAATACTAAGTTTTCAAGTTTTATTTCTAGCATACTAAATTCAAAATATCATTAATGTTATAAAACATTTCAATATTTGAAATGGAAATATTGCCATGCTTGAATAAATAATACTCGAAGAATAATTGATCATTTGTATCAGTATTTAAAATTAATATTTTGTAGAAATAAACAGAATTGAAATGATAATTACAAAAGAGAAGAAAAAAAATCAAAATAAAAGTTGTCAAAACTTTTTTCATTGCACAAAAAACTTTTCAATTAAATTTTGAATTGAAATTTTTATTTAATTTCTTATATCTTTTCCTTTCCCAAATGTCTAACAATCATTTTGGATCAAATTTAAGCATTTTTTTGCAAAAAAAAGAAAAAATGAAATAAAATAGAAATGAAAAATAAAAAAATATAAAATAGAAAACAGAAAGGAAAAATGCGCCAACAACAGATGATAAAATTCACATTCTACAACCGTTTTTTTTTCTTTTACACCTATCAATTTTGAATTTGAATTTGACAAATTTTATTAAACTGTAAATTTAATCAAACAAAATGAATTTTTTTTTCTTGTTTATTTATTTTTAAACATACCTTTTGCATGACAGCAAAGCCAATACCACCAGCAGTTGTACGGGTTGACATTTTTGCACAATTTATCTACTCGGAAATGATTTTAAATTGAATAATATTCTTCACTAAGTGATACTTTTAGTGAATACAGCTGTTGAAATTGAATGAATGAAGTTAGAAATGATATTGTAAAGTATGATTTTGATGTTTTCTTTTGATAATTGTAATAGATTTAGTTTAGCAGAGAAATAGTAGATTTAAATGATAAGAATATATAGAGGGATGAGGATGATGAGCTCGAGCTTAAGTTTGAACTTCTCCAACTAAGAGGCACAGCTTCAGTTGAGCGCTTTTTAAAAGTGTGGATTACACCACACCCACTCATTTAAAAGATTGAAATTTTCCTTCCTCATCCTCTTCCTGCTTTTTTTTCCTTTTCTCTCTTCTTCTTCCTTTTTGTTTTTTCTTTTTTATTGATTTTCTCGAAAAATTTAGAAATGAAGAAAAAAGAAAACGAAAGAAAGAAGAAAGACGGAAAAATCAAATATTTTCCGGTAGAATAAAAATAGAGTAAAATAAAAAAAAAAAGAAGGAATCATAGATCTAATGAACAAAATTTTCCTACCGTAATTAATCATTTTACATTTTTTTATTCCAATAATTCATCCTTGTAACTATCATAATATTCATGTATGATTCATCCTCTTATCACTAATTTAATTATATCTATCAATTTTGCTATTTTTATTTTTGATAGTAAATATCAATTTTATTTATTGATATATCCGTTTACACTGATTGTTTAATCATAGTCATCAGTTAAGCGTGACTCATCCTTTTATCACTAATCCAACAGCTATCATCCATTTATCTCTATCAATTGATCGATCAATTTAGCATTTGCATACGTATTTACTCGATTTATTCCATTTACATATATTTATATACATATCGATTTTTTACCTTACCATACATTTATTATTTGAAAAAAGTTTCGATTTCAAAATTATCAAATAATTGATTTTGCAATTTTGCAATTTACATTTATAGTTGGAAAATAATCCATAATCAATTAGTTAGTTTATTAATCAGAAATTTTCCGTTTTTTTTCAACATCTTTCCGGTAATTCCGGAAAATCTTATCCATTTATTTCATTTATTTTTTCCAAAGCACAAAGTATATTAGTTGAAAAAAAAAAGAAGAAAAGAAAAACATTTGTTTATTTATCATCCAAACATAAAGAGGTCATTTAACAAATAAGTTATTTGATGGGAAAATGAACAACTGTTTCTTACGTTTAACTTTCAATTTCCTATACTTTTTTAATTTTTTAAAGTTTTAAAAATTGAAAATTTTACTTTCCAAAGTGCATTTTTCATTTTTTATCGCTGAAAAATTGTATAATTGAAGAAAAAAGCAGGCAAATATTACTTTTAGACAAAATTTTAAGTTTAAAAAATCTTTAAATTGGGAAAAAATTTCATTTTAAAAAACAACTAATGTAATAAAAATGCACTTTGGAAAGTAAAATTTCCAATTTCACATTTGATTATTATTCGAATCGATGAATTTGAAATGGATTTATGTCATTTCGGCAGTAGAAAAAAGAATTTAATCGTAAATAAAATTTCGCTGCATCTAATATATTCCTTATCAAAGAACATTTGAGAAAGCATCAATCCCCGCATTTAACTGTGATATTTGACAGTTACAATACCATGATAAAAATGTTATCGTAGTACCATTTATAGTATTTATCATACATTCCTGAATAATATGTATATTTGACACATACACTATGATATATTCATGATCGTACTCATGATATCCGATATACACAATGTCATATTTTGGTACATCATGATATCGAATGATAACACTTCATGGTACTTCATGTCTTCTGGTAATCTTTCATCTGTCATTTATGATATTTATAAAAATTCGCTATAATTATTTGCCATCCGTTAAACCGTTTATGGTACTTCTTTTGACAACATTTTTATTTCAATATTTAGTGTAAATGTGTAAATGCTGCTTACAAACTTTCACTACTATGCTTATTATTACTTTTTTGTTAATATCAGTGATAAAATCATAAGTATGCACCCTAAATGATGTGATAACAGAAATGTTAACATTAGTGATAAGACTATTTTGGTAATAAAATCGTAAGTATGCACCCTAAATGTTGTGATAACGAAAATGTTAACATAAATGATAAAAACTATTTAACGGCGAATTCATAAATATGCATTCAAAATGATGTGATAACGAAAAATGAAATTATGCTACAGTAAAAGTGAATTATGCTACATTTGAAATGACTTCGTGCAAATCAAATATTGCAATAAATTATTTTATTGTGAAATTCATTTAAACTTTAACCACATTTGCATCATTTTACAAGATATAGTGGACAAATTTTTAAATAATGAAACAAAAAAACAAAAGGAAGAAAAAATTTCAATCATTAATTAAGAAAAATAATCGAATTAAATGCATGTTATAAGTGTTAGTTATATTATTATTAAATTAAACAATTATTGAATTTGATAAGATAATGGATCGTAATAAATGGTCATGTAAATAAAAATCAATATTGTTGGTTGATTATGGTAGTTCATTATGATTATTATTGTAATAACATTTTAAAATATATATTATACACTATGCAAAAAATTTTTGTTGTCGGATAATTTGAAACAAAAATTATATCAAATTTCAAATGTGGTTGATTTTTTCTTTTTGCTCTTCTAATTTATCACTTTTGTTTATCATTATTAAAGTTGCAAAAAAAAAGGCACACATCGAGATAGATTTAAATAAGAAATGAAATTTAATAAGTTAAATTATATCATTTCGAATATAGCATTGATTGTCAACATCACGAATCGATTAAACTAGACAATAGTTGAATTTGATAAGATAAGGCATTGTAATACAAATAGTCATATAATATTACTGATTGATTAAATTTAGAAAGTTATTTACAGAAAACACCACTTATTATTTTATTATTAGTCAAATGGAGTAGTAATTTAGAACTAATTATCAAAATGCTAAAATTTCATTCTTTTATTTTGTAGTTAAATGACAAGAAAAAAAAGGAAAAGAAGAAAACTGCAATATGTCGGAATAATTTAATTATTTTTGGTGATAATAATAGGCTTTTTTTTTTTTCTAAAAACGTTTTCATAATACCGACCAGTTTTATTGTTAATGATTTCATTTTTGATTCGATAATGTCCAATCAGTTCAAACAAGTGTATTATTAGTATCGATAACAAGTACATTATTACTTTTTTGTTTTAGTAATTTAATCTGCAAGATAAGTAATCTGATAATAACAAGTAATATCAGGTAATTTCGTCACTGAGCACAATATATCATCACCATCATCATCACCATCATCATCATCATTATCATCATCGCCATCATCGTCATCATTATCATTATCATCATCATCATTGTAATCATTACCTTTACCATTATCATTGTCATCTGTACTTTCGGCAATTTCATTATTTATGATATCGGAATTTAACCAATTGCATAGATATGTTAAACTGTCTAATATATCTGCAAAAATTTTGCATATTTAAAATATTTACAGAACTAAAAATGTAAATGAAACATTCAGCAAAAAAGGAAAAAAAGAAAAGAAAGGAATATAGATAAATGATATTAGTAAAATATCGTATGCAAATACAAATTATTTTTAGGAATGGAACTATTTTCTTACCTAATAATTAGTAAGTTTTAATTAATCGGAAAATTTTTAAATTAACACATTCGATATATTTGAACAAACTATAATTTAAATTATAAAATTCCATGATTATTTCCAGCAATAGAAATAGCAATTGAACAATGGAATTCACGCACTTTTTTTTTTTTAAAATGTTTTTGTATTTTTCATAAAATTTGGGGTTTACAAATTTTAAGAAAAGGAATTAGCTAATTAGTTAATTAATCAATTGACTAAGTTAATATTCATTACCATGAAAAAAATCATCATCATTTGTATTCGAATATATTGTAAAAGAAAGAAATGGTCGGAAAACAACATCACATAAATCAATTAAAATGAGTGATATTCGAGCTGCGCGTAGGAAACGGTTAATTTCACGAACAGAATTTGGAAAAAGTGTTGGAGTAAATAATAGCAAAGCATCTGTAATCATTCAATAATTACTAATCAATAATTTATGAGAAAATCAAAAAATCCTAAAAAACGATTTATTGATTTCTCTAAAGTGAAAATATAATAAATTGATAGATTTCAGAACTTCTTCAATACCATAAATTCTATGCAAAAAAGAAAAAGGGCAGAAGCCTCAATTAATATTAGTTGATTAAATGATTACAATAAATTTTGTTCAGATTTTTTTTACTGCAAACTTAAATATTATTGAATCAATGCTAGAAAGGCGGAAAAGTTTTGAAAAAAAATTATCGCTCCATTGTTGATCATTATCATTATTATTATTATTATTATTATTATTATTATTATTATTATTATTATTATTATTATTATTATTATTATTATTATTATTATTATTATTATTATTATTATTATTATTATTATTATTATTATTATTATTATTATTATTATTATTATTATTATTATT